TTTTCGTATGCGACGTTCTTCCGTCTTTCTAGATGCCGTTTTTACGGAGGTATAGTGGAAACACTTGGTTGTAGGGTTTTGCCGCTTTTCTTTCCCCGTTTCAATATGCAGGTTCACGACTTATTATTAGGACCCCGGCAGCATTAGGTGTGACCCGTTTGCTGAAATAGCTTCTCAAAGTCATTCAATTTCAGCTCCTGGGTCACTAGGCAAGGAGTCTTAGATAACGGCTAGCAAATCGTCTACTGCTTCAAGGGCTAGATTAGCACTTCGACTTTAATAAGTTCAGCCTTTGCCCCTAATGGATTTAGATACCTACGTTAGATACGGGATTATAAATGGTGTCAGGCATCTCCACATTGGTGCAGCTCCCCAATCCTTTCCCCAGGTCATTCATTATAGGTCTCTGAAAAGTATTAGCGTAGAAAAGGACTGGAGGGTATTAAGCAAGACTAAAGGGCCCTGTCGCCAAGATGGAAGTCGACATCACGGAGACTGAAGAGTCCGCATGGTTGAATACGTATTTGCAATAAGCATTCTTTTGTTACGATGGCCTCTTTAGACTAATGTATTACGTCCTTTTTTATTGTATGCCGACTAGATTAAATGTAGGTTTTTTTGCGCCAAGAGAAAATGTCTTTTTTGACAGTCCCATGCCGTGAACACTATGTGCTTCTCAGGAAGGCAAAAGATAATCCAGCTTTTCCAGTAGATCTTTTTTATGAAGTGCTTGGGTCTGCTCTAACACCCAAAATCTTTTTTCAGCTTTTCTATGTGCCGGGATTTCGTGCGTCGCCACCGATAATTCGGTGCCTGATCGACAAAATGCACAATTGCCTTGATTATTCAATCAAGAATCTGCTCGATCGTTATAAGGTGAGGTTTCTCTTTGAGTGTTTTATATTTGCTGCTGAAGTAGATTGGTTGCATGCTTTGAATAAAACATTGGGATAGATAGATCTTTTTCATATTCAATTGTTGAACACGTTCGATGCTGGTGTCGGAAGAAAATAGGCCACCATAGCTGAGCTGTTTTGTTTGCAAATGACGCTAGTGCTTGTACTGCCAAACCGCTGCTCAGACTTTAGTAATTGTAGTTATCCTCCCCAGCTCAAGAGAATCTCATATCTGCTTCAGTATTTTGAAATCGGCTTGTTTACAACTTATGATTTGGTGCAAACAATTGCCACAAACTAACTTACACGAAGCTCATGTCACGTATTTGTGGCGTCGGGTTCAGGTGAGAAGATCTTAGCTTCACATTTGACGTTGTCAGTGGACGTATCGGCACAAGGCGTATCGAGTGCGTTCATGCGTTAGGTTTGTCAGGCTAACGTGGACCATGGCGCTATTTACTGTATTGCACAGTCAGGCTGCGTAACTCTGCCACATTTCAGGTAGCAGTTTTGAAGCACTATTTGACCCTGCCTCATCCGCAATTACTGGCGCCACTGGAGGAAGCCGAGAAGTTTCTTTCCTCCATCAGTGATGCAGAGTTACCGCGCTTTGTTAGCACCTACCCTTCCCTTCTCTCGTTCCCGGTAAACATGGAGGTCGACCAGAGTACTCACTTTGTGGTAACTCGACAGTTATTGCAGGATTCGCTCCTCAGGCACTGGCTCGTTCAACTCATTCTCCCCTTTGTGATCAAATGGGCGCTTGCTTTGTTTGGAGACCTTCACAAGCATCCCATGACTGACAATGTGAGTTCTTTTCGGTGATTATCTGGTGATTGAATTAATGATCGTCCTCATTTCTGCCTTTGGTTACGTAGATTGCCGGCCTTTATTGCGATTGGATTGCTGGTCGCCTAATAAGTGAGCAGATTGTTCGTAGGTTCAGGTAAGCCGTTAAATGACTTCACTTTTGATTTGTTTGAATAAACTTGCTTCACTGATGCCAGTTTATCTGGCTTAACACATTCGCCGCTAGTGTCACAGACATGCGAATTCCTATCCTCTTACCTGATATTGGTGTTACAAATATTTGACTTGCGTTCTTTACGGATTTGTAAAAAGCCGCTTATGTTAAATTGTGTGCCACAAACGCATTAGCCAGACTTGGTGCAGAGCAAGAGATGCACAAGGTGAGCAAGTAGTTTCATGCGGTGTTCACGGTGAATACCCAATAACTGTTTGCGTGTGCATGCTACTAAACGCTATTCGATATGTTAATCGCATTTACAATCTACCATTCCTTCCCGATGACGAGGCACGAGCCTGCATCGCATTCTGCTTTTGTCAAATATTCTAATTCGGGAAACAAAGGCCTAACCTTGGTCACCTTGGTCTCTGTCGCACATCCTCCCCAACCCTGTGGTATGTAATTGTCTAATTTGACGCGGTGATGACCATTTGAAGCCAAAGGAAATAAAAGGAAACTACGAAGTGTCAATGCTCTTGCATAAGTTCTGCAAATTGGCGCCTTACACTGCGTTATTTCCCAAAGACATGGTTTTCTTGCTATTAACTAGCCTTGGGTGTTCTTAAAGGGGTTTCTTTTTTGCACATTCGAAGCTTTTTGCTGCATCTACTTCTCAAAGGTAATTGTTTGGACTCCAGCGAGTGAACAATTTCGTCTTCAGTGCGCCGCACAAACGGGGCTTAGTCTCCTGAAAATGAAGTGTT